CCACCGTCATTCATTTTCAAAATCTGCTGCTGTCTACTCTAACAGGTGTGAGGCGAGCACCAGCGGAAGCACTAACCGGATATTCCGGAGAAAGATAACCAAGAACAAACCGCAGATCCCGCTGCTTTCAACGGCTCGGCGTCCTCGAATTCAACCAAGCCAAAGCTTGATCGCATACGACTACGGCTTTCAGGTACTTTTTCACACTGAATTCCAAGGTAGGCCCGACTCTCAGACAACTCGTCTGCTCCAAGACTTTCCTTCGCTCCATCTCCCTCGTCGTCGACCCCATCATGGGAATCGACGTTTCTTTGCAGCGCGTCCCACGTCCCTCCCAACCCCTCGACGCGTTTGAAAATGTTAAATTGAATCGAACGTCGCCCCTCATCGTCCTGCCTCTCGGTCCCAGTCCAAGTTTTTCCGCACGGCCCAACGTCCCTGGTAACAAATTCAAACGTATTTGAGTAACGCAAGTGACTTACACCTTTTCGTCCTTCCCCCCCACCCCTCTTCGTTCCCCCTCGCCCTCCGCCTCTCGGTCCCAGTCCAAGTTTTTCCGCACGGGGCCCAAGGTCCCTGGTAACGTCTTCAAGCTCGCGTTCGAGAATTTCGGCCGCGAGTACGCGGTAAGCACGTCAGCATGCCACGTCATTGTTCCACATCTCAGCATGCAAGTGTCAGCGTGCCACACGTTACGCCGCAACGAAAACACCTCCGTTTTTTCCAATTGAATTTAAACTTCATGCCTGTACCTGCAATTCTTTGTTTCTCAACGCAAGCCTTCGCCGCTCTCGTGCTCTTCGCGTTTCGTCATTGCGCCCTTGTTCAGGCCCTTTCGCCAGCAACGTTCTTCAACTAGCGAGATTCTAATGTTTTCTCCCATTCACGTGCACGTGCAGGCCCTTCGTAGCAACGTTCTTTACGAGGAGCTCAGCGACGTGCGAAGTAAGTTGCAGCTCCTTCACTGTTCGGCTCACTCTAAAGAGTGGCTCGTTACATCTTTACCAAAGTGGCAATCCCTCCCTAGCCTTTACTCCGCACTCAAATTTTCCCTTTCGTTCCCGTCTCCCCCCACCCAGCCGACAACATCAAGAGAGATGGCAGGCAACTTGCCCTCGCGTACGCGGGTCGCTTCCTCGTCTCAACGCTCAAGTTCTTTGACAAGCTCCTCACGCTCTACGATGGTCTTCCCGAGATCAAGCCCCCTCCTGCTGTAAGCCTTCCTTGTATAGGGGTGGCTTGCATGTCACGTTAGAATCTACTTCGGGCTCCAAGTTCCTTCCTCGTTGCTTCCTCGTCTCGACGCTCAAGTCCTTTGACGCGTAGCAACGTCAGGTGGGGAGTCTATTTTATTGAGGCGCCTCTAAACTGAGGAGCTCTCACAATTTTTCATGTTTCTTCCCTTCACCCCTTACTCGTTCCTGCTACACCTAAACAGATGCCCGAGGAGAGTGACGCTGAGCAACGTAACGTCATTCAGGGCGCTCTCACAAGTTACTCACGTTCCTTCCCTTCGCCCCTTCACTCGTTCCTGCTGTACCAAAACAGATGCCCGAGGAGAGTGAGGCGCTGAGGCAAAAGCTGCAGCAGCTGACGCTGAGCAACGTATCGTTATTCAGGGCGCTCTCACAAGTTCCTCACGTTCCTTCCCTTCGCCCCTTCACTCGTGCCTGCTGTACCAAAACAGATGCCCGAGGGGAGTGAGGCGCTGAGGCAAAAGCTGCAGCAGCTGACGCTGAGCAACGTAACGTCATTCAGGGCGCTCTCACAAGTTCCTCACGTTCCTTCCCTTCGCCCCTTCACTCGTGCCTGCTGTACCAAAACAGATGCCCGAGGGGAGTGAGGCGCTGAGGCAAAAGCTACAGCAGCTGACGCTGAGCAACGTAACGTCATTCAGGGCGCTCTCACAAGTTCCTCACGTTCCTCCCTTCGCCCCTTCACTCGTGCCTGCTGCACCAAAACAGATGCCCGAGGAGAGTGAGAGGCGCTGAGGCAAAAGCTGCAGCAGCTGACGCTGAGCAACGAGGCGGTGGCTAAGCGGGAGGAGGACCGGCCCCAGGTGGAGGCGCCTGGGTGGATCCTGCTCCCCTACAAACTCTGTGCTGGGTGAGTGACGTGTGACTCGGTGCAGTTGGGTGCTGCTAGTTGGTACGTGATGGACAAAACAAGTTGTGAGGCTTTAGAGAGGGAGGAGGAGCGGCCCAGGTGGAGGCGCCTGGGTGGATCCTGCTCCCCTACAAACTCCTGTGCTGGGTGAGTTGGGTTGACCCTGGGTATGCGTGAGTTGAGTGCGGTGATGGTATGTGCTTGGCTGTGAGCGCACCTAGCGGTGCCTCGTGGGCTCAGGTGGAGGCGCCTGGGTGGATCCTGCTTCCCTACAAGCTGCTGTGCTGGGTGAGTGGAGTGCCGCTGCGTTGAGCTGAGTGCAGCTGGGTTGAGTTGGGTTGATGGGAGTGGGAATGTTCGCTTTGCCAGATAAAACTCCAGGGGAGCTCAAAAAAACAAACAAAAAAAAGGCTAATGTTATCTCAGGCCAATGAAAAGTCACTTCCACTTGTCCTTTTCTCAATTATCCCGTCCCATGCCATGCCATCCCATCCGTCAGATGCTTGATGTGATCTTTTACAATCGCCCCATCCAACGGTTCTGGTTCCTCGAGACGGTGGCACGCATGCCCTACTTCTCGTGAGTGCCCTGTCAACTATGTGGACCATCATTCGTGTATCATCGTTCATGACCCATCGTTCGCCCCCATGATCATGCCGTGCGCTTGTCGCGCACATGCTTTGCTTGTCAAGAGTTTCAGCCATGCTTGTTCCCCATTTCCTTTTGTAATCTTCTGATCCACATTCTCTCTTGCCCCCCTGTCGCTCCCTCCCACCCCCGCAGCTACATCTCCATGCTTCACCTCTACGAGACCCTCGGATGGTACGTTGCTGAAATATCAGTGGCAATTCTGAGCAACGTAATCTATAAACTTGGGCTCATGACCTTTTCTTTTCAATCTGAAAAAAGTGTGTTTTCTCAGAAAGTCTGGTCATCAACGCAGCATCGTCTTCTCACGAGCATGCTTCTCCACTTCCTTACCCTGTACTCCCCCGTCTGCTCCAAACCTCAGGTGGAGGATCGGCATGGAGGTTCGGAAGGTGCATTTCGCAGAGGAGTGGAACGAGATGAACCACCTCAAGATCATGGAGTCTCTGGGCGGCGACCTGTTCTGGATCGACCGCTTCCTTGCCCCTGCGAATCTCATCTCCTTAACTTTTTTACCCCCATGCTTTCCGCTGTCCCGGGCCTCAGGTGGAGGATCGGCATGGAGGTTCGGAAGGTGCATTTTGCAGAGGAGTGGAACGAGATGAACCACCTCAAGATCATGGAATCCCTCGGCGGCGACCGGCTCTGGATCGACCGCTTCTTTGCGCAGCACGCCGCCATCCTCTACTATTGGGTCCTAAACTTCATGTTCTTAATCTCCCCGCGCACCGCGTACAACTTCTCGGAGCTGATCGAGGCGCATGCGGTGGACACGTACGGCGAGTTTGTGGATGAGAATGCGGAGCTGCTGAAGACGTTGCCGCCGTCCCCAGCAGCTATTGCTTACTACAACAGCGACGACCTGTACATGTGAGTGGCTTGAGACGTGTGGACCTGTGGTGAGCTGATGGAGGCGCATGCGGTGGATACTTACGGGGAGTTTGTGGACGAGAATGCAGAGCTGCTGAAAGCTCTCCCACCCTCTCCAGCTGCAATTGTTACTACAACAGTGATGACCTGTACATGTGAGTGCAAAGGGGGGGGGGGGGGGGTTCAATGTGGGTGGTTCAGAAGCAAGTGGAGCTGGTAGAGGCTCATGCGGTGGACACTTATGGCGAGTTTGTGGATGAGAATGCGGAGCTGCTCAAAACGCTGCCGGCCTCCCCGGCAGCTATCACGTACATTTGACAAACTTTACCTGTGAGTCAGGGGGGCTGGGAAGGTGGGGTAAGGGGGAGCGGGGAACACATCAGTGTGTGTGCTTGCAGTTTTCATGTGAGGGGAGTTGAGTTGAGAGGGAGGGCAGATGTATGTGCTGTTGGTAGTGAGCTGGTAGAGCCGCATGAGGTGGATACGTGTTGGGAGTTTGTGAATGAGAACCGCTTAGATGCTGTGAATGAGAACTGCTCCGATGCTCGAGGTTCTGCCGCTGTCCTCGGCAGCTATTGCCTAGTACAACAGCGATGGCCAGGGAAGATAAGGGGGAATGTCATGTGCGTGTGTGCTTGCATGTGAGTTAAGCGGATGATATGCATGTGTAGTGTTCTCCTAAGTCTTATCTCGTAGTTTTGACATCTCCAACAATGCTGCCACCTCCCGTCCTTATTTGTCCAGGTTCGATGAATTTCAAACGTCTCGAGTTCCTGAGTCCCGGCGGCCCAAAATCGAGAGCCTGTACGATGTCTTCTGTGCCATCAGGGTGAGCAAACACTGCTCAACTTTGAATTCAGGATCCCTTATTGCTGATATGCATTGCTTATTTTATTACTCTTACGTTTCTTCAATATTACTCTTACGTTTCTTCAAGTACCTTCCAAAGTTTCTCCGTATCGCCCTTCCCATCAATATTCTGTTTCTCAGCTTTCACTCTCTTTCGCCCATTCTCAGCTGTCCTGTTCAAATCCTTTCCCCTCAACCCTCACACCCTCCTCCTCATCACATCAGGACGATGAGATGAAGCATGTCAAGACAATGTCTGCCTTCCATTGTTACCTTGCTCTAAATTGTGTTCATCTCCTCCCCCCCCGCCTCATCTCCACATCAGGACGACGAGATGGAGCATGTGAAGACAATGTCTGCCTGTCAGCAGCTAGACTCTGTCGTGCGCTCGCCCAACCGCCCGGGCTACGCACCTCTGCCCTCCCCTGCTGACGTGTACTTTGAAGGCCTGGTGGCGAAAACCTCATCCTCCACATCAGCATCATCTCCTGCCAAGGCAACATCAGCCTCTGCAGCTGCATCTGCGTTCAGTGCAGCTGTTGGTGAATCTAAGTTGCCCAAGGATGTCCTTCCTCAGGCACTCAAGTCGCAAGGAGAGTCCCTGAAGTGATGGATCAAAATTTTGGCCCTGTTACGGAGCACAGATACAGTAGTGTATGTAAATATGTAGTTTTCTCGTAGCATGGTTATTATGGTCTATCCTATTGCATGTGTGTGTGTGTCTTATTAGAATGGACTAAGATACTAGCGGAAGCTTTAGTAGTCTTAGATCCTCCTCCTAAAGCCTAGGAATCATAGAAGCCCACTTGGGCATGAACCATGCTAGAGCCAAAGTGGTTTCCAAAAGTGAAATGCCAACAAGAGAGAACCCTAACCTATAGGGTTTGGGAGGTGGTCCACTCTAAAGAGTGTACACCACAAGTTCTCCCAACCCAACCAATGTATTCTACACTACCATAGTGTAGATGTACCACTACATATGTTTATTGGAGCAACCCGAATTAACCTTAATTCCAACACCCCCCCTTGCTCCAATAAGCATTAAAGTTCACCCATAAATCAAAATAGAACCCCTCCAGCGAATGAAGCCTTGGCCTTCGCAGCAATCACTCGCATGCCGATGCGCTCCAGGTTCTCATGCAGCTGCAAGCTTGGAAGAGCTTTGGTCAGCATGTCGGCATCCTGGAGGTGGGAGCGTACTGAGTGCACCTCGACCTCCTGTTGGCGCACCGCATCCCGTACAAAGTGCCATGCCACCTTAATGTGCTTGGTGCGCTGATGGAGAACGGGATTGTGGGCAAGGGAGACAGCTGCCTCATTATCACAGAGCAATGGAATAGCCCCCCCATCCCCCACATGCATCTCTGCCAACAGACTCCTCAACCAAATGGCCTCCTTGGCCCCCTCCGATAGAGCTTTGTACTCAGCTTCAGAAACGCTTGCTGCAACACTGTCTTGCTTTTTGCTATACCAGCTGATTGCTCCTCCTCCCAGCTTAAAGATGTAGGCAGAGCGACTCTTGCCATCAGTCTCACCACCCCAATCCGAGTCTGTGTACCCGACAACCTGCTCACCACCTTGGCGCTCATACCTGATGACACGATCAGCTGTGTCGACCAAGTACCTGAGTGCTCTCAGTGCAGCGCGCATGTGAATGCGTCTTGGTGCCACGCAGGACTGTGCAAGGGTGTTGACAGTGAAAGACATGTCAGGACGGGTGGTCACAGCAGCATACATCAAGCTGCCAATGAGACTCTGGTACACCTTGACATCAGCTGCAACACCTTCCTCAGTTGACCAAGTACCATTCCTGATCTTAGAGAGGTCATTGGGTGACATTGGAGTATGCACCCTATGGGTCTCCTTCAGCAGATCACCAAACCTTCCCTGGAGACCACGGACATACTTCTCCTGACCAATCTCCAACCACCCATCCTTGACCGACCTGCGAACCTCCACACCAAGGTACATGGATACCTCACCTAGATCCTTCATCTGGTACCTTTGAGCAAGCACCTCCTTGACCTGACCGATCAGCTCCAAGCGTGGAGACACAAGCAAGAGGTCATCCACATACACCAATACATACACTGGCTCTTCATCCACAAACCTGATGTACAGAGCCTCATCACATGCACTGCGGTCAAACCCTGCTGCAATCAAGGTGGTACCAATCTCCTCATTCCAAGCACGAGGCGCTTGCTTGAGCCCATAGAGAGCTTTGCGCAAGCGATGCACCCTACCTGTACCATCATCAAATCCCTCAGGTTGCCTCACATACAGTTCCTCTTGAAGGAGTGCATTGAGGTAAGCATGATCAACATCCTCCTGTTGTACATGCCACCCTTTTACCGCGGCTTCTGCAAGAAGCACCCGACCTGAGGTCAGCTTGCCCACAGGGGCAAATACCTGATCATAGTCCTTCTCAGGCTCCTGAGTGTACCCCTTAGCAACAAGGCGAACCTTGTGCTGTACCACCTTATCCTCCTTGTCAGTTTTCCTGCGGAAAACGTACCGGACCCAATGGCCTTCTTACCTGGAGGTAAGTCAACCGGCTCTGGATCCCATACACCCATAGTGCGCATTGCATTTACCTCCTTCTCAGCGCCTGCCTTCCACGCAGGGCCCTCAGGGCCACGCAGGGCCTCAGCGAGTGTGCGTGGGACATCACCTGTGCTCACACCTGCCAGTGCAACACCTTCCAACCTCCCTGGCCAAACATAGCATGCCCTCAACCACACCAGCATCCCCCCCTACCTCCTCACCACCTGTACCAGACTGGATACCAAGCACCTGCAAACCCGTAACCGGTGGTGGGAGGTAGTCGCTGGTGACGGAGGGGCACCCGTAGAGAGAGGGATAGAGCGCTGACCAGAGGAGGAGGAAGAGGAAGTAGCCTGTGTAGCGGATCTCCGCTGAATGACCGAGGGGCCACTGAGCTGCTGCAGAGGGGTGGGCTGCTGCTGCACCGACACACTCAGCGGTGCCGGTGCAGTGGTGAAAGTGGCATCTCAACGTCGTCAGCCGTTGCTGAGGGTTGGCGAGAGTGGAAGAGGGAGGAGTTGGGAAATTGCAGCTGCATCCTGCAGAAGCTCCCCAAAGTTCCTTGCCTTGTCCCAAATCCTTCCACATCACATTCTCAAGGAAATCAACCATCCCGAGCAATGCGAATGCGCATGATTAGAAGGGTCCAGCATTGCGCCAACCCCTTGCTCTCCATGTCCACCCCAAACACAGACACACATGACAGCCCGTGCATCAAGCTTGCCACCCTTCTCATGCCCATGCAACATGACACTCCCCATGCAACCCCAAATCGGAGCCATGCCCACATGCGGCTTCTGGCCGGACCACGCCTCCATTGGTGTGATGGAGGCAGGCAAAGCACTGTGGGTGACCCTGTTCTTAACCCACACGACCCACATCAATGCTTCACCCCACAAGCGAGCAGGGAGACCACTGTCGACCAACAATGTGCGAATCCCCTCTGCCATCGTCCTGTGCCACCTCTCCACAACCCCATTCTGTTGCGGTGTATCTGCGACGCTCAATTGAGTTTTAATGCCAAACTCCGCCTTCCATGCTTTTACAGCTTCCCCCAAGAACTCGCCACCCCTGTCCGAGCGAACAGCCTTCAGCTTCCGCCCACACTCCAACTCCACGTCCTTATGCCACTGGCGAAGGACTTTTGCAACTATGGCCGATTCCTTGTTGGGGAGGGGGAACGACCAAACTCGTTCTGGTGAAGTCGTCAATGAGACTGAGGACATACACCGCTCCTCCCAGTGATGGTGTGCGCACCGGCCCCCACAAATCCATGTGGACTTCATCCAAAGGCCAAGTGCCCGAGACGCCTCATGGGGAAACGGCTTCCGAGCCGACTTTCCCAATAAGCAGGGCTCACATGGGGAACAATCAGTGTTCCCCCCCCCAATCTCCAAGCCAGTACACTGTTCCCCCCGAGCCATCTGTTGCAATGTTGTGGGGGCGGTATGACCAAGGCGGCGATGGGCAAGGGTCAATGGGGAAAATGAGGAGGACGACTTAGCTGCAAGAGCACTGCCCTGTGTTGCCCTGAGCAAGAGGAAGAAACATCCGCACCAATCCATGGTCCCTTCCCCTCTCCTTTTCTCCAATCGCCAACACCCGCTCCCCCCGTTGAAGGACACATCTCTTGCCTTTGAATGTGACAATGACATCTCGAGAGGTGAGGTGTGGGACTGACAGCAGACGCGTGTGCATCTCAGGCACAAGGTGGACCTTTTGAATCCTCAGCAGCTGACCTCCAGCACCAACCACTGGCACCTCACCCATGCCAACAGCTTTCATCACCCGTCCATCTTCCAATCTAACTCCCCGAACCTCTGGTGGTTGAAGCTTACTTTGAAGTCCGATGCATAAGGAGTAAAGTTGTGGCTGGCCCCACTATCAATCCACCACCCCTCTCGCGGCTGCTCCTCTCCCACTGCTGCAACTGCTTCTCCAACCACTGCCTCTGCCTTGTCATCCTGCTCCTCCTCATCCGCCACCTGTGCCTTGCCGTTGGACCCACGACCCCCCCGCTGTAAGAATGCCGGAATGCCTCCCTTAGGTCGATGAGGACATCGCTGCCATGCATGTCCCTCATCCCAACAGCCATGACACAACCCCCGAGGAGCCATGCCCTTGGACCCCCAAGGGAAATCAAGCACTCCCGCTTTGCCTTTCCCTTGACCCCATCTACCCGAGTTGGTGTCACTGCTGCTACCGCTGTCTCCATGCTTTCCTCCCTTGACCCAATTTCCCCTGCCGCTGCTGCCCACTTTCGTACCCGCTCCAAATGTGGCTACACCATCCGATCTTGGTGCGACACCAATCCGCATCTCCTCGCTCCTCAAGGAGGTAAGCAGCTGATCCTTAGTGAGCGATGATGACTGGTTGTTCATCACCACCTTCAGCATCTCAAAGTGAGGAGGTAGTCCTTTGAGTATCCTCATCATCCACTCCTCAACCTCCTCCTTTCCTCCTGCTGCCAAGTACTTGGACCTCAAGTCCTCGGCACGCGCCCAGTATGCAGCCACCCCCTCCCCCTCTTTCATCTTCAATGAAGAGAGCTCCTCAAAGAGTGCCATCCGGTTACACAATCCACGCTGAAGGTAGAACTCCTTCACTCGTATATATGCCGCTGCTGTGCCTGCAGGAATTCGGGTGACCGCTCTTGCTCCGCCATCAACAGGTGCGCTGCCCAACTCGGTCTTGCCGCCGAACTCCCGTACCAAGCGAATTAGCTCATCTGGCACCAAGACATTGCAGAATTGAGCGAATGCCTTCTGATTTTTTCTCTCCCACTTCAGCCGTGCGTCACCCGATGCAGGCCGCTCCTCCGAACCATCAAAGTACCCCCATAGATCGTGTGCCTCTTGCCCATTGTTCGAATCGGAAGCTCCAAGTCCAATAGTCGCTCCCGTCGAACTTTGGCGTGCTCTCCAGCTTCCCTTCACCTGAGTCATGATCCATTTGCGGCAGACACTCTGGAGATTGACGTTGAGGTGGTGGTGGAGGCAACGGCGGCGGTGGTGGAGACGATGTGGACAGATTTGCCCCCTCTTGGTTTTTGGAGCGTAACTCCGCGCTCGAACCTCCGAATGATGAGCCGTTTGTCTCAGATGAATCTTTGCTCCAAGACCGTTCCGATGATGTATCGCGCTCCTGGATTGCGCTTCCAAGCTGTCCGCTTAAACTCGTCGAAGTTGGCCGATTTCCCGTCGACGAAGACTCAACCGTTTCTCCCGATTTTTGGCTTGTTAGATGCGCCCTGGCCTCCTCTATTGGCGTCTGGCCTCCAATCTTTTTTCCGCGCTTTAAATCTTCCCCGATTCGCGATTTTTCAATTCGTCCGCCGGCAGTTTTTCGCGAATTGCGTCCGATCCCCTCGTCGATTGGTGACGATCTTGAGGCAACTGTTGTAGAGCGTGCTGAGACCTTTCCAACGGTATGCTGCACGTTTTGATCGGCCAAAGTTGACTGAGCGCCTCCGTGGATGGATGCCGCTCTTCTCGTCCTCCCAAACGGATCTACACGATTTCCAGCAGTTTTCTTCTCTCCTCCTCCCCTCCCACGTCCAGAGTCCGCCACGGTGCAATTTCGGCAGCCCTTCGGGAGGAATGGAAGCTAACTAGCTTCCACCAAGATCTTATGGTCCAATGTCTTGAGTAACTCCTTTTCCAACAGATTGCTAGGCCTTCCTTGCTCTGATACCATATTAGAATGGACTAAGATACTAGCGGAAGCTTTAGTAGTCTTAGAACCTCCTCCTAAAGCCTAGGAATCATAGGAGCCCACTTGGGCATGAACCATGCTAGAACCAAAGTGGTTTCCAAAAGTGAAATGCCAACAAGAGAGAACCCTAACCTATAGGGTTTGGGAGGTGGTCCACTCTAAAGAGTGTACACCACAAGTTCTCCCAACCCAACCAATGTATTCTACACTACCATAGTGTAGATGTACCACTACATATGTTTATTGGAGCAACCCGAATTAAACCTTAATTCCAACATGTCTATATGATTGTAAGATGGTATATGGTTTGGTTCTGTCTAAATATTCGTGCAATATCTTATGCTCATGGCATGAAGCATCATGTGTTTGAACAATTGAGAATAATTAAAGCAAGAGGTGAGAAAGTATCTTCACCATCTCAACAAGTTCAAATCAATGGCCATAAATGAACAATGTAAGATACATAGCAACGATGTTGAAACTCCTGGTTACACTTCCTGACTCGTCGCTGACACAAACGGGGATCCCGTGACTGCCACGCCAAGCTTCAACTTTGGGGAGGGATGCGTGACCAGACGGAGTGGAGCCGCGCGCGTCACAGAACATGCTCTGGAGAGTCCCGCGCGGCACAGAGCATGCGCTGGGGAGTCCCGCGCGTCAAACAGAATACCCTAGGGAGTCCCGCGCGCCACACAACACCCGCCCTCCAGTAGGAAGAAACAGTTTTTCCTTGCATTCAACCCTAGTCCCCCGAGGTTTCTGTTCAACCCACCACCGACGCGAGCCATTGAGTCCGACAGCCATTCGAGCTTCTTCCGTTCACCCGCAATCTGTGTGACTTGGGGAATCGCAAATTCTGTTGTCATTAGGGCCTAGGTCCGAAACGCGCGACCTGGCTTCGTCGTCCGCGGGAAGCTCACAAGCTCGTATCATTCGCCATGGCTTCGTCCAGGTCGGCTCGTTCAAACAGCAGCCGCCCTTGCATTCCAACTCTCGTCTGTTCTCGCAGCTACAAATGCAGTTATAAATGCAGCCATTCAACAGTAGTTCACCAGCAATCCACCAGCCGTCCACCATAATAGCAGCCTCGTTAGACGATAAGAGGCCTTCCGGCTTCTGTCTCCGTCTGCCTGCCTCCCTCGGTCTTTCAACCAGGGAGCCGTTCCTCCTCTCAAATCTGTATTACCTTTTATTCTCCACTATCACACCCGTTGCTTCTAAGCTAGTGGCATCGATGGCTTGCATCAAACACTCAGTGCGATCAGGGTCATCATCCGTCCTCCTCCCGTTCCTCGTCGTCTTCCTCTACGCGACCCTCCTCTCCCACCACTTCCTCTCCGCCTCCGCCGCCGTCGCCGCCGCACACGGCCGTCACAGTCGCAGGAACCACGCCTCGACGCAATCTCGCGCTTCGACTGCGAGCGGTCCCGGATGGTATCGGAACCGCGCTGCCGTACCCTTTCAGCCCGCCACGCGATCATCATCCCGAGCCGCTTCTGCCGGCGGTCCCGGATGGTATCGAAGCGCCTCCGTGCCAGCTTCCACGCAATCATTATCGCGATTCGCTGCTGCTGCTGCGAGCGGGCCGTGCTCCTTTGTTTCCTGCCCTAAGGGCTGCACCTGCGCTGCTTCCGGAGGCGTTGCCAAGTGCTCGTGCAAAGGTGCGTGAGTGCAGCAATGATTTCTGAGACGCCTCAAGCTCGTCTGTTGCTAGTACTGCTAGTGCAGCAGCTGTTTGTGCAGCCGCTGCTGCTGTTGCTGCTGCTGCCAGCGGGCCGTGCTCCTTCGTTTCTGCCCCAAGGGCTGCACCTGCGCTGCCTCCACGGGCGTAGCCAAGTGCTCGTGCAAAGGTAATAGAAACAGTACCAGGTAATTCGCTAATGCTGTTGCTGCTGCTGCCAGTTGGCCCTGCTCTCTTGTTTCCTGCTCCAAGGGCTGCACTTGCGCTGCTTCCGCGGGCGTCGCTAAGTGCTCGTGCAAAGGTGATTTCAATGCTTTCAGGTGTTTGCAATGCTTTCAGGTGATTGCAACAATTTCAGGTGATTGCAAAAATGCCAGGTGGTTGCAACAAGTCCCAGCGATCAAGACCATGGCAGAAGCGTCTCGCCATTTCCCCTCCCCCCCACATTACCTCGCGTTCAAGTGTGCACTGGTACAACAGTGTAGCATGATCTGCTAGTGTCCAGCCAACCCGCGCCCTCTTCCACCGTTCCTTCCCCTGTCTGTCTCCTTCCCCACCAGACCCGTGCTACGGTGTCAAGTGCCCCCACGTGTCCAAGTGCGCCTTGCAGGGCGGTGCAGTGGTGTGCAAATGTCCCGCTCCCTTCAAGCGTCTGATCAACAACCGGTGCTCCTCTGATGATTATCCCAACTCCGACTACCTCGACCCACACAATGCTGCCAGGGCTGCTGTTGGTGCCGTTCCCCTCGAGTGGGACGACGCAGGTGGGTGGCTTGAGAGTTGACTGTACTGACTGTATTGACTGAGTTGACTGAGTTGACTGAGTTGACTGTGTTGACTGAGTTGACTGGAGGGAAACAACCGGTGCTCCTCTGATGACTATCCCCACCCCGACTACCTCGACCCACACAACGCTGCCAGGGCTGCTGTTGGTGCCGTGCCCCTTGTGTGGGATGACGGAGGTGGGTGGCTTGAGAGTTGACTGTATTGACTGATTTGACTGAGTTGACTGAGTTGACTGAGTTGACTCGAGGAAAACTGCAAGTGCTGCTCCTCCTCTGATATTCCCAACTCCGACTGTCTCGACCCAAACAACGCTGCCACGGCTGCTGTTGGTGCCGTGCCTCTCGTGTGGGATGGCGCAGGCGAGGGACTTATGAGTTGACTAGTTGACTCCAAAGAAGCAACGAGTGCTGCTCCCCTGCTGCTCTTCCCAACTCCCACTATCTCCACGCACACAATGCCACCACGGCTGCTGTTGGTTCCGTGCCCCTCGAGTGGGACGACGCAGGTGAGTGCTCTTTTACTTGACCCAGTGGCATCAACAAGTGCTCCCCTGCTGCTCTTCCCCACCCCGACTATCCGAGCATGGTCGCATGGGGGAGGGCGAGGGGCAGAACCTCTAACCTCCCTTTCCCCCCTTCTTTCCCCCTCTCCTCCCTCTTCCCTCCCCTCACCTCCAGTGGCTGAGAGGGCCCAGGCGTGGGCCGACACTCTCCGCGACGACTATAACTGCGGGCTGGAGCATGGCGGCATGGGGGAGAGTGAGGGGCAGAACAGAACCTCTCAGGCGCACCACACACACCCCCCTCATTCGCTCCCCTTCTTCTTCCCTCCCCTCCCTCCCCCCACCTCCAGTGGCTGAGAGGGCCCAAGCGTGGGCCGACACTCTCCGCGACGACTATAACTGCGGGCTGGAGCACGGCGGCATGGGGGAGGGCGAGGGGCAGAACCTCTCAGGGGCGGGTCCGGCTGGGTGGGCGTCAAACAGCGATGCAGTGCAGTGGTGGGTGGGCGAGGGCAAGTGGTACAAGCGCCCGCCTGCTGTCTTCCCTGCTGGCTGCATTGGTGGTGACTGGGGCAGATGCGGCCACTACACACAGGTGAGGGGCAGGCAGGCAGAACCTCCTAGGCACCAATCTTAGTGGGTGGGCGTCGAACAGCGATGCAGTGCAGTGGTGGGTGGGCGTCGAACAGCGATGCAGTGCAGTGGTGGGTGGGCGAGGGGAAGCGGTACAAGCGGCCCCCTGCCATCTTTCCGGGTGGTTGCATCGGTGGTGACTGGGGCAGATGTGGCCACTACTACACGCAGGTGGGCAGCGTTAGGTGACCGCGTTTGTTGCCTTCTCTTTAGCATAGCCTCAGAAGTCTAGTTTTGAGGCGCCTCAAGGCCTGAATTCTCTTTAGATAGCCTCAGAAGCTTGCTCAAATGTGCCTCGTGCATTGTGGCCGGTGTGTGTGTGTGTGTGTGTGTGTGTGTGTGTGTGTGTGTGTGTGTGTGTGTGTGTGTGTGTGTGTGTGTGTGTGTGTGTGTGTGTGTGTGCGTGCAGGTGATATGGAACAACTCGCGCCAGGTGGGGTGTGGCAAGGCGTCGTGTGGCGAGGACGGTGACGTGTGGGCGTGCAACTATTACCCTGCTGGCAACTTTGTCGGCGAGATTCCCTATGGTGAGTGTTCGGGTAATGAGAATTGCCTTATGATGAGCTTGCGTCGTGTGGCGAGGACAGCGACGTGTGGGCGTGCGTGCAACTTTTACCCGGTGGGCAACTTTGTGGGCGAGATTCCTTATGGTGAGCTGAGATGACAACTCCGCACTTCAAGATCTCCACTAGTTTTGAGGCGCCTAATGAATGATTTCTTCTTTTGAGTGGATTCCTGCTGGCATCTCTTCTCTTCTCTTCTTCTTCCGAGTGGACTCCTGTGCTGCTGTGAATGGCAAGCCATTCACAGCAGCACAGGAGAGGACTCGATACCACCTGCCCGCTGATCTGTGCTCATGAAGTTTACTCCTCTCCCTCGTTCACAGCAGCACAGGAGAGGACTCGATACCACCTGCCCGCCTCGAGTCCTCTCCTCACCCCTACTCCTCTCCCTTCTTTCCCATCCTATCTCACCCCTACTCCTCTCCCTTCTCTCCTCCCATCCTATCTCACCCCATCCCCCTCTGCAGTTCAAGACCCGTGCTTCCGAGCCCTCTTCCCCTCGTCTTGATACCCCTCCTCACCTTCACTCCTCTCTTATCTGCTCCCATCCCATCCCCCTCTGCAGTTCAAGACCCTTGCTTCCGAGCCCTCTTCCCCTCGTCTTGATACCCCTCCTCACCTTCACTCCTCTCTTATCTGCTCCCATCCCATCCCCCTCTGCAGTTCAAGACCCGTGCTTCCGAGCCCTCTGCCCTTCCACGTCCACCTGTGCTGCTGTCAACGGCAAGCCGGTCTGCCTGTGTCCGCGAGGGCAAGTGCTGGTCAACGGCAGCAAGTGCCAAGCAGGTGAGCATGTGGCGTGTCTTGGATGTATGGCGTGTGTGGCACTTGTCATTGGGTGGGATGACGTGTGGCATGTTGCTGCCAATCCCATCTGCCTGCCTGTGTCCGCGAGGCCAAGTGCTGGTCAATGGCAGCACGTGCCAAGCTGGTGAGCACGTGTGGCGTGTGTTGTATGTGGTGTATGGTGTATGGTGTATGGTGTGTAGCATGTGGCATGTGGGTGGCCTGTGCTTCCGTGAATGGCCATCCCACCTGCCTGCCTGTGTCCGCGAGGCCAAGTGCTGGTCAACGGCAGCACGTGCCAAGCAGGTGAGCACGTGAGCTGAGCTTTGATGTGTGTGAGAAGTCTCTTAAGTCCATTTTGTCTTTTGAGTCGACTCAAAAGCACGTGAGCTTTGATGTGTGTGAGACGTCTCAAAACGCTTTGATGTGTGTGAGAAGTCTCTTAAGTCCATTTTGTGCGAAAGAAGGAGACGTCTCAAAACGCTTTGAAGTGTGTGAGACGTCTCAAAACGCTTTGAAGTGTGTGAGACGTCTCAAAACGCTTTGAAGTGTGTGAGACGTCTCAAAACGCTTTGATGTGTGTGAGACGTCTCAAAACGCTTTGATGTGTGTGAGAAGTCTCTTAAGTCCATTTTGTGCCCTCTTTAGTCCCACTGTCCATTGTGTCCCCTCTTTTGTCCCACTCTCCCTTACCAGCCTCCCTCAGCCCTCCCGTACCAACCTTTTCAGTTGTCTCGCCCCATGCTTGCAGAGATAATACACACTCACGACCTATCCCTCCCACCGTTCTCTTCTTCTCGTTTGACTTGACTCAAAGTCCCTTCGCGTACCAACCTATTCAGCTGTCTCACGCCATGCTTGCAGGAGGTAACACACACACACGACCTAGCCCTCTCGCCTGTCTCTTCCCTTCTCTTCAACCCCTCCAATCCCTTGCAGAACCATGCAAAGGCACGGCTCCATCCCTTCCCTCCCTTTTGGATCAGTGACCTGTCCCTCCCACCTGTCTCTTCCCTTCTCGTCAATCCCTCCAATTCCTTGCAGACCCATGCAAAGGCGCGGCTCCCTGTCCCGGGGACTTTGTGTGTGATGGAACATCGGGTGCGGCCAAGTGTGTGTGCCCCAAGGGAACCGTGCAGATTGCACCCAATACGTGCCAGGGTGAGTGCTGTGCTGCTAAGATGGCGATTTCAGGTTGTTTTTAAGAGTATTACCAATATATATATATATATATATATATATATATATCCACTTCTGCCTCTGCTTACTGCAGGCTGATTGCAATGGCATCCCCTTTTGATCCCCTAGTCTCCACCACTCTCCACCCCTCTTCATCCCTACAGCGCCTTCGTGCAAGGGAGTGAAGTGCCCGGCCTCTGCTCGCTGCAGGGCGGACAGCAACGGCATTCCTTTCTGTGCCTGCCCTGCCTCCCAATCCCTGGTCAACGGAGCCTGCACGAAAGGTACGTTATTCTGAACCGCCCCTCCTTCACCAACGCACCTGCTTCCCTCGCTCCCATCGTGCTCCGAACCCCCACTCCTGCATCGCCCTCACTTCTCGCTCGTCTACCCCCCTTGTTCTCCCTTTTTTCCCTCCCCCACTTGTCCCGCCAGCCGGTCCCCGCACAGTCACCACCAGCATCGTTCTCTTCAGCCGCCCGTCCTTCGCTGGCACTCCCATTGTCCTCCGAGGCCCCACTCCCGACACCGACGACGCCACTGGCTGCGTCAACATCCCTTCTCCCATGGCCGGGACTGTGGGCTCCCTCAAGATTCTCTGGGATGCGCCTGATGGGGCTAAGGGGACGAGGGTGGCTTGTGGTTTGATGTGGTTTTGGAGTGATGCGGATTGCTACGGGGATGCGTCGGGGTGGGACCGGCCGGACAACAATGTTACCATTGCCAAGTGAGTAAATGATTTGGTTGCATATTGTATATTCTATGCCTCATTTGTTTTGGTTGGTAGTGGTTGTACCGTAAGTTGTATGTGTCTTGCTTGCCCGCCTTTTCCATGTGCTCTCTGCTCATTCTTGCTAGTGGTTTCCTGATTTGGTACATTTGTGTTTATCCGGACCCGTTTCAGGGCCACGGATGATGGAGCTGCTGTGGTGCGGGCTATTAGCTGCGGGTCATGATAGGACCAGTCGTTGAAACGTTGTGCCTGTTTTTGAAATAAATTTTGTTTCCAGTAGGTATCTCAAACATTTGCCACATGTTTTCCTGCTTAGTGCTGTGAAAATAAATTGTGCAACCAGAGACACAAATTGTTATTTTACGCAGCCGGGGGAAGCTTCATGTGGGTACCCCCGAGAGGGGCCATCGCGGGGCGGTCCTAGTACCAGCCTGTCAGACTCTGATTGGCTGACGAATTCGTCCTTTTCCGCGAAGCTTCTCCCGGCTGCAGAGGTCGCTCGGCGCGCAGCAGTGGAAGCAGCAGCTCGGCGCGCAGCGGAAGGGCGGAGAGAATGGTTTGATGGGGACGAGGGGAATGAGGGAAGTGAAGGGGAAGGTGAAGAGGAGGAAGAGGGCGAGGAGGGATAAGATGGAGAAGAGGGAGAGTGTTGTGCAGCAAATATGTCCCAGAGGGTAGATTCTCACCTGTGGTCTTAGAGGTTGTGGGTTCAATTCTCAGTAGCTGCAGGTTCCATTCTCATTATGCTCCACATTACATGTCCACACTCTACCACACTCCACCACAGTGAAGTGTGGTCACAGTTGGCATTGCCACCTGTCCACTCATCCCACACTCACCTTGCTGGCCTCTATGGTGTGCCATATGCTGTCATGTGGGCTGTTGTTCCAGCCTGGCCCACATGTGCAACATGTGGCCTCACTTGCTAGCTTGGCAAGGTTGGCTAGCCTAGCCCTCAGCATTGAGGTGCTGCAGCTAGCCTCAAGAGTTCAGCCACATATATGTGGCTTCCCACTTCACTAGGAATCATCCTTGACAAGGACCTTGCTCTAGTCTTTAAGACTTGTACCATTTTCTTGCTAAGGAGATTTCTTCTTCCTATCGTGCCCTAAGTTCACCGATCCACTTTCTTCAGAGAGGAGGAAGGAGAGGGAGGAAGAGTAAGGAAGATGAAGTTTAAGGAAAGCGGTAGTTCGGGGGGGGGGGGGATAGGAGCGGGGGATTTGGATGGCAGTAGCGAAGGGGACAAGAGGGATAAGGAGCGGGATGTGAGTGTATCTGAAAGGGAGAATAGCGAGGGCACAAGGAAGAAGAAGTAGAGAAGGGAGGAGAAGGGGAAGCAGGGGAAGGACAAGGGACAGGAGAAGGAGGAGAAACGAGAGAGAAAGGGCAAGAGTCGACATGAGAAGAAAAAGAGAAAGAAGAGGAAGGGAGAAAAGGGAGGCTCTTCTAGTGACACTTCCAGGAGTGACAGTAATGAAAGTTGTGACTCTAGCGAGAGTGAGAACGAGGAGGATGTTGGGCTGAGATAGCCCCTTAGGATCTTTGCAAGGGATAACTCTAGGTGAAGTAGTTGTAATAGCGGAAGCGTTTAGTGAAGAATTTGAACCGACCTTGCACTGGTGTGTGAGAGCAAAGTTGATTGAATTAAACAAGCAAATACAAGGATTTATATAAGAGTACAGGGAATAGATAGATAACTGTATTGCTGTTGCGGTTCGATATAGCGCGACTCGGGCAACTGCTCTGTAACGAGTCAGTTGTGTGTCCTTAACTGTCGCGCTGTAATTGTCGAGTCAAAGGTCAGCGACCTTTGACTTTCTCGTAACCTCCAGGCGGTTATCCTAACCTCCGAGGTTGACTCGATGCTTCGATTGGGACTGCTTCGCTTGGTACCTTGGATTTTGATACGACAGAAGCGCACTTAGGACTTATTGTTTCCAACACTCCCCTTCGCTTCTGGAGTGTTACTGCTGGTGACGTGGCCTTGTCCAGTCAGCATCATGCAGTATTCGAACTTCTGCTTGCCGAGTTTCTTGGTCAAGTAATCGGCTGCCATCTCGGATGTTGGACAGTATGACAGATCGAGTTTCCCTTTTTCTATCTCGTCCTTCACGAAGAAATAGCGCAGGGCGATGTGTTTCGTCCTGTTTGCGAAGCCGTTTTTGTTGGCGATGCGAATTGCTGACTGGTTGTCGCAGAACACGGTGAAGCTGGGTAACTCGGCTAGCTTCGCTTCTTCCAGTAGTTCGCGAAGGTAAAGTCCCTCCTTGGTGGCTGAGCAGAGTGCAATATATTCTGCTTCTGCTGAAGATAGTGCGATTAACTCCTGCTTGCTCGACTGCCAGGAGATAGGACCGATAGGCTCAAGGCGGTAGACATAGCCGGTGCGTGAGCGCCTGTTGTCGGTGTCGCCGGCGTGATCGGCGTCGACGTAGCCGATTAGCTTAGTCGGTGTAGCTGCGCTCTTGTGGTAGGTTAGCCCGATCGTCGCGGTGCTGACGAAGTAGTGGAGAGCGCGATCAAGTTCCGCCAGGTGTTCAGCTTCAGGCTTCTTGAGATAGGTGGCGAGCTGACTTGCGGAGTAGGATAAGTCAGGACGGCAGGTGACGGCGGCGAATAGCAGGCATCCGAGCTTCTTCTGATAGTCGCGTATGCCGGCGGGCTTTAGTAGAGTAGTTCGTTCCTTCTCGGTTCCTGATGTGTAGCGGTAGGGCGTGGAGATGGCGCTTGGTGTGAGGCTGAAGCGTTTCGCGATGGTGTCGGCGTATTTCTCGGCGCTTAGATAGATGGCGTTTTCTTCTTCGCGGATGTTGAGCCCGAGGTACTGTGTAACGGTGGAGGAGACCGTGAGCGTGAGGTCTTTCTGGAGCTCTCCTTCGAACCACGTGGCGATGCCGTCGGTTGACCCAATGTAGAGGAGATCGTCCACGTAGACGATCAGGAGAACGTAGTCGCTTCCCTTAGTGAGGCGGTACATGCCTTGGTCGTGAGGTAGTTGACTAAAGCCGATGCGGATGAGACGGGCGTGCAGGTACTGCTGCCACAGTCGCGGTGCCTGCTTGATCCCGTAGAGCGACTTAAGTAGTTGACAGATTCGGTTGGGTTCGCCGTGGGAACCGTGCGGGAGCTCGACGTAGATTTCTGCATCCACAGGTGCGTAGAGGAAGGCATTCGCGACGTCGATCTGCCGTAACTTCTTCTTCTTCATGGCGGCAATGGCGAGGAGAATTCGGAGTGACGTGTGGCGGCTGACTGGAGCAAAGGTCTCGGTGAAGTCTCGTCCTTGCTCTTGGTCGAATCCACGTACGACCCAGCGTGCTTTGAATTTTTCGATCGTGCCGTCTGCTTTCGTCTTGATGCGGAAGACCCATTTCCCGGTAAGGATGGTTTTGTTCCGTGCCACGCTTACGGGAACAACCTTCCAAGTGTTGCGTTCCTCTAATGCCTTCAGTTCTCTATCCATGGCTTCACGCCATTTCTCCCTGTGTTCCCCCCCCAGAGCCTGCTGAACCGTTGCAGGCTCCTTAGGAAGCGAGCTGCGTGTGTTCCCGTGGACTGCGGTGACGAGGCCGAGGATTTGCAGCCCAGTCTGTGAGTATCGAGGGAGTTCTGGATCCTCGGGATAAGCTGCTTCGTCTCCCGTTTCTGGGTCGGGCATGAAATTTGGCCCTACCCTTTCTGCTTCGTTGGTGTTGACTGTCACAGGTGTTACGTAACCATCGTCGGCGAAACGGTAGAAGATTTCGGCGTTGTTACTGTCGCGAGGATTATCCTCATCCATGGGCACGTCGACGGAGCAGTATGGGAGAGGTCCGGCTTCTTCTGAGGCGTTGTCGACGTTCTGTTCATCCCAGTCTGCTTCGTCCGCTGCTGACGCGAAGGCTCGGTCACCACGAAAACCACTGGTGAGGTCCCGATTCTCGTGCAAGTTGGCGAGGTACGTCTGAAGGGTGAGTCTTTCGTAGAAGATCACGTCACGTGCTGCTACTGTTTCCTTTGTGTGGACGTCGAAGATTTTCCATGCGTTGTAATTTTTCTCGATGCCGAGGTGTATTCCCCACTGTGCCCGTTGCGAAAATCTTCCCGCTCGTGCTTCTGGGGGTCTGTACTGTACCATGCACCCGAAAACTCGTAACATTTTCGTGCTGCCCTGCTTCCCTGTCCACAGCAGATGCGGTGATGCGTTGTTCGGGAGTGACGACGACGACAACAAGTTGTGTAGCATGACAGCGTGGTCCATTGCTGCTGGCCACTGGTGGTTGGGTAGCCGCATGCCACGTAATAGTTTGCGCATGCTGTTCTGCAGGGTCCTGTTCAGTCGTTCTGCAACACCTTGCTGCTGATGTGCGTAGGGAAGGGAGAGGAGTTGCTTGATCCCCCTTTCCGCCAAGAACTGCTTGAAGCGGTGAGAGGTGTACTCGCCACCTCCGTCTGACTGGAAATTTTTCAGTTGTGTTCCAGACTCTCTCTCTGCTATCGGTAGCCAGGCGGCGAATGCTGCGAGCGCCATGTCGCGGCTGGGTAGGTTGCGATGCCAGACGTATCGAGTGGCGGCGTCGATGAAGGTGATGGTGTAGTTGTAGTTGACTTGTCCTGGCTCGCGATTGTAGAGGATGTCGCTGTAGACTTTTTCGAGTGGTGCGTACGCTGGAGCGCTCGGGTTGTGATGTGAAGCGAACGGTCGATGAGGTAAGTCAGCTTCGGGACATATAAGGCAAGTCCCTCGTGCCTTCTGGAGTTCTCTGCCATCGGGTAGAAGTAGAGAATCTTTGTCAAGGACTCCTGCTCTTATCGTGTTATTCAAAACCGTGTTGCTTGGATGTCCTGTTCGTGCGTGCCAGATCTCTTCAGAGGCGCGGTGTCCAGGTGAACGCTGATATGCGTCGGAGTTGGAGTAAAAGCTGGCGACGAGGTTGGCGCTTCGGTGGACTTCACGTTGAGTCGGATTCAGCTGTTTCGCGGGTGTTGGTGGTGCTTCGTCGACTGTGACTGGTGTCGTTGTTCCTGCTGCTGCTGATGTTGTTGCTGCTGCCGATGTTGTTGCTGCTGCCGATGTTGTTGCTGCTGCCGATGTTGTTACTGCTGCCGATTGTCGAATTGTTGCTAATGCTCGTGTTCGTTCTGCTTCAGGAATGGTGTGCGAGTACCAGAAGCCTCCTGGGCTGAAGTCGGGGTCGAGATCCGGAGGGTGTGTCCAGTCAGTGAAATTCACGATGGCGTCGCTGTCTGCAGTGCCCAGGTCAGGAACGAAGTCGAGGACGAAGACGTTGTTCTTCAGCACTGCTTTCCCGATGTAGAGACCGCCTCTCCCGTGGTAAAGTTTGAACTCCTGGGTCGTGCTGTCGGCTTCCAGATGAATTCCTTTCGCCATCAACTGGCTAACGCTCAGTAAGTTGTAGCCGAGTCCTTCAGCGATGAGTACCTTAGACATGTGCAGTATGACATTTGTTTCTCTTGACTGAAGCTGTACCACTCCTTGTCTTCGTGTGCGCAGGTTTTGGTTGTTGGCAACCGTGATGATCACTTCCCGTTGGAGTCGATGTTCGCGTTGTACGAAACGCCCGGACGAGCACATGTGTTGCCCGCAGCAACTGTCCAAGAACCAGGTGTCTTGGCCGGACGGTTCACTTTGAGCGATGGCGGCGTACGTTGGATTCGGCTGGAGTAGCTCACGGCGAGGCGTTCTGTTGTCAAGCTCTTCTTCCGGTGAGTAGTGTGGTGGTGATTCGGTTGTACATGAATCGGTTATCTTCGTCATGCAGTTGATTATATTTCTTGCTCCTTGTGCAGGTTGTCCGGGTGAAGTCGTTGAAGCTTGAATAGTGGTCGTCGCACTTGCTTGTGTTGAAGCCATTTGGGAGCTTGAAGGTCGAAGTTGTCGCTGTGGTGCCGTTGATTGCTGACGATTCGGGCAGTGTGTGCGCGGGTGCCCTGAAGTCTTGCAGATGTGGCAGAAGGGAGGTACTATCTTCGGTTGCTGCTGTCGGTTGTTATAATTGCTGTGTCGTCGTTGAGTGTGGAATGCGAACTCTGATACTGTCGTTTTCTTCCTGTGTCGTTCTTCCTGCAGGTCCATATCTTGCTGCTCGGCATGTATTTCGGCGCAGAGTGCAGCTTCAGAGATTCTTCCGTGGGCTCGAAGAATGGCTTTGGTGGCGCGCCACTGAGGACCAAGCCCACCAATGATGACTGTCACGAAGGCGTCTTCAGAGATTGACCCTCCGCATCGAAGCAGCTTGTCGCGCAGTTCGCGACATCGGCTGATATACGCCAGTCCTTTTTCTCCTGGTTTCATTTCGACTGTCGTCAACTGCGCCATTAACCTGCTCTGGTTTACACTGTCTGTTGCTTGATACAGGTTCTTCAGATGGCTGTACGCGAGCTCCGCCGAGTTGCCGAAGGTCCGGTAAGAGCGAATGTTCTGCTGCTGAGTTGGTGTCATGTTCCTCAATAGGATTGTATACGCCATCATTGATTGATACGTATACTGCTGCTTTTCATATTGTGTCCCGTTGGCTGGATACTGCAGGGACCCGTCGAAGAAGCCGAGTATCTGCGCGCCCTCCATCATCAGCTCGAATTCAAAGGACCAGGTAAAGAAGTCTTTGCCGTCGAAGGGTCTTGACGTTTGCAGTTTTAAGACGTGTGCAAACTGCGACTGAACTTGAAGTGCGTCCAGTGGTCTTTCTTGTCCAGGTGAAGGTTGCGGGTGGGGCACGAAGCTGATTGACCCGCGCTCGTACGGAGCAAAGGTAGGTTGCTGCTGCTGGTTTCCTCGCGCATATGACGACCCATCAAGACTCATGGGTGTCGCTCCGTTGTTGCTGTTGTGTGTTTGTGCAGGTCCCGACTGCTGGTGTTGTTCGTAGAAGGACATGAAGGAGAAAAATTTCTCCATCATGTTCTGGTCAAAGTCCGAAGGGTGGTTCATGGGGGTCTCGGTTGACGTTCCTCTTGGTCTTGTTGCCGTGCCTTCTTCTGTCTGCAGGCCAGAGGCTGGCGGTGGAGTAGGAGTAGTGCCCGAGGAGCCATTAGGGGAGCTCCTTTCCTTGTTTGTTGCCATGTCTTGTAATGATATTGAAAAAAGAGTAGAGTTTCCCTTGTCTGCTCTCATACCATGTTGGGCTGAGATAGCCCCTTAGGATCTTTGCAAGGGATAACTCTAGGTGAAGTAGTTGTAATAGCGGAAGCGTTTAGTGAAGAATTTGAACCGACCTTGCACTGGTGTGTGAGAGCAAAGTTGATTGAATTAAACAAGCAAATACAAGGATTTATATAAGAGTACAGGGAATAGATAGATAACTGTATTGCTGTTGCGGTTCGATATAGCGCGACTCGGGCAACTGCTCTGTAACGAGTCAGTTGTGTGTCCTTAACTGTCGCGCTGTAATTGTCGAGTCAAAGGTCAGCGACCTTTGACTTTCTCGTAACCTCCAGGCGGTTATCCTAACCTCCGAGGTTGACTCGATGCTTCGATTGGGACTGCTTCGCTTGGTACCTTGGATTTTGATACGACAGAAGCGCACTTAGGACTTATTGTTTCCAACAGAGGAGAGGAGGGAGAGGAGGAGGAGGCGCAGGAAGAGACAGGAAGAGGAGAAGAGGAGGAGGAAAGTGAACAGAGAAGCAGAGAAAGTCCAAAGAATGGTGGCGGGGAGTGAGGGGAGGAGGCCTGCAGGAGGGACGGGGATGGGGATGGGGATGGGGATGGGGATGGGGATGGGGATGGGGATGGGGATGGGGATGGGTGGGATGGGGGTGAGAGGAGGGTTGTTGGGGGCCAGCAGTGCAGGGGGGAAGGAGTATGTTATTGATGCTAGGGGCAACCGGGATAAATATGCCTTTGGCTCGTTGTATAGGTGAGTGGTTTACAGGATGGAGCATTGATGCGCTTTTCGATTCATGCAGGATTTGACCTGGAAAGCATATGGTGGCTCGCGAAGGTGTGAGCATGCATGGGAGCATGCATGGGAGCATGCATGGGAGCATGGATGGGAGCATGCATGGGAGCATGCATGGGAGCATGCATGGGAGCATGGATGGGAGCATGCATGGGAACATGCATGCATGGGAGCATGCATGGGAGCATGCATGGGAGCATGGATGGGAGCATGGATGGGAGCATGGATGGGAGCATGCATGGGAGCATGCATGGGAGCATGCATGGGAGCATGCATGGGAGCATGCATGGGAGCATGCATGGGAGCATGCATGGTAGCATGCATGGGAGCATGCATGGGAGCATGGATGGGAGCATGGATGGGAGCATGCATGGGAATAGCATGGTCTTGACGTCTCAAAAGCCTTTAAGCTGCTGAAACACACAGAGGATTACCAGTTTCTGTCCGTCCTTTCTCCCCCGCCCTCCCCCACCACCCTCCTCACACACCACATCAGGTTAACTGTTGCCCGCTACATCGCCCATCCCACAGCCGCCACATCGTCTAACCACGCCTCCTCCCCCTGGGCTCTCGCCTGTGGTGCTGCCGGTTCCCCCTCCCCCATCCCTGTCCTCCGCGCCCCTGCCTGGGCCGGCCTCAAGCCCTCCAAGCACAGAGAGAGCGTGGATTTAGGATTTGGGATGCGGAGTTTGATGGAGCCTGAGTGGGACACGGTTATGGGTTCTGTTGCTGCTGCTTTTTCCGCGCAGGGGGGAGGGGGGGGACGTGGGGGATGGGGGGGAGGGGAAAGGGGGAAAGGGGGGAAAGGGGGAAAAAGGGGGGAGGCCGTCTGGGATTGGGGCTTCAGCGGCCAATCGGTATTGGTCGCCCTGGAATGCCGTTTCCGAACGGAGCAAGGAGGTTCGGAGGGTGCGGTTCGGCAAGGGACAGCTGATGTAACTCCCTTATCGTCAACCTCTGGCATTCGCAAACTCACAGCTGCTGCTGCTGTGAGAAAGCAGCTAGGAGAAGAGGGGAGAGGGGTTGGTGAGGAGGGGGTGTGGGATGTGGGGGGGAAGGAGGAGGAGGACGAGGAAGAGGGGGAGACGTGAGATGAGTATGTGTTTCGCCGGACGAGGGAGTTCAACGAGGACACGAGGCGCCACCCGCTGGACGAGCAGCTGTGGCTGCGGTTTGTCTCTTTCCAGGACGTGGCGGCCTCGGGCAGCGGGGGCGGGCGACACCGGGCAGCGGTGATGCGGCAGGTGACAGAGAAGAAGGTGGCAGTGTTGGAGCGAGCGCTGCAGCACGTGGGGGAGTGCGAGGCGGTGGTTCTCACGTATCTCCATACATGCAGTGGGCGGTGAGTTTTATGCCCTCTCAGGTAGCATGGTAGCATGGTAGCACTATCTGCTGCTTCACCCATGGGTGATTCAGCAGGTGAGTGAGAAGAAGGTGGCAGTGTTGGAGCGAGCGCTGCAGCACGTGGGGGAGAGCGAGGCGGTGGTTTTAACCTACCTTCACACTTGCAGTGGCCGGTGAGTTGGTGATCGGTGTTGCGGCTGGTGACAGAGAAAAAGGTGGCAGTGTTGGAGCAAGTGCTGCAGCATGTGGAGGAGAGTGAAGCGGTTGTGGGCGGTGAGTTTCATCCAACACGTGCAGTGGGCGGTGAGTTTCATCCCCCCATCAGGTAGTATGGGTGATTCAGAAGGTGACAGAGGAGAAGGTGGCATTGGTGGAGCGACCACTGCAGCATGTGGGGGAAAGTGAGGCGGTGGTTTTGACCTACCTTCAAACATGCAGTTGCTGGTGAGTGAGTGTGTTTCTTTCTTTCTCGCCAGCTGTGCTGTGTTCATTTTTAATGCGCCTCAAAAATAGACTCGGAAGAACATGGGTTGAGTGCACTACTGGTGATCATGGGTGACAGACAGGGAAGAACGTGGGTTGAGTGCACTACTGGTGATCATGGGTGACAGACAGGGAAGAACGTGGCAGTGTTGGAGCGAGCACCGCAGCACGTGAGGGAGAGCGAGGCGGCGGTGTTGATGTATCTTCACACATGCAGTGTGCAGCGGTGAGTGTAATGCCCCCGCAACACTGCCTCTGCTCCTACAGCATTGCAGCATTGCAGCATGTGGTAACCTGGTAACGCATGATGGCGTCCTTGATAGTTGGTGACAGGGAAGAAGGTGGCAGTGTTGGGGCAAGCGCCGCAACGCGTGGGCGAGAGTGAGGCGGTGGTGGAGGGTAGGAAAGGGGATGACAGGGGGGAACGTGGCAGTGTTGGGGCAAGCGCCGCAACGCGTGGGCGAGAGTGAGGCGGTGGTGGAGGGTAGGAAAGGGGATGTCAGGGGGGAACGTGGCAGTGTTGGGGCAAGCGCCGCAACGCGTGGGCGAGAGTGAGGCGGTGGTGTTGACCTATCTTCACGTGTCTCCCCCCTCCCCAATGATTTTCGAGATTTCTTAAAAACCGCTCACAAGGGAGAGTGAGGCAGTAGTGTTGACCTCTCTTCACACGTCTCCCGCCTCCCCAACACCTTTTCCCAGAGATGACGCAGCCGCACTAGATGCCACGTGGCGCAGCGCGAATGGCTGCAGCCCTGGCAGAGCGAATCTCTGGAGGGGCTACATCCGGTGGCAGAGGGGGCTTCGCATCGACTACTGTGAATTTTTGAACCGTAGTCGATGCAATGCAGTAGCAGCAACACACATCCCTGCTGCTGCTGCTGCTACTCTTCAATGCAGCAGTAGCAGCAGCACACATCCCTCCCATCCCCTTAGCTGTCATTCCCTCCTCTCCCCTCTCATCCCCTTTCCCACCCTCACACTCCCCTTTCACCCAGAGATGACGCCACCTCACTGGACGCCAAGTGGCGAAGCGCCATTGGTCGCATCCCTGGCAGTGCGAATCCCTGGAGGGGTTACATGCTGAACTCGCCGCGGTGCGGTGTCAGAACTCGCCGCGGTGGACATGCTGGTGGACTCGTGCCGCTTCGAGCACCAATCAGGGCACGCTAAGCTGGCAGTGGTGCTGCTGCAGGCCGAGACGGAGTACGCCGTCTAGCCGCCGCCCCTGCCCTTGTCCTTTTCTTCTGAGGGTAGCAAGTTGAGGTTTAGGGTGGGGGGAGGAGGAGGGGGGAGAGAGTGGGGGAGGAGGGGGGGATAGGGTGGTCTGCTTGGTTGGCTAGAGAGGAGGGGTATGTGATGGGGCGAGAGGGAGGGGGAGGTGGAGGTCGTGGGGATGGTGAGGGGAAGGAGGATGAAGAGGAGGAAGAAGAAAAGGAGGAAGAGGAGGAGGAGAAACGGGGATGGTCTGGATGGCAGGAGATTGTTAGGAAGGGAGAGGGTGGGGGAGAGGTGGCGAAGGAGGAAGAGGAAGAGAAAGGAGAGGAGCTAGAGACAGACAGGGAATCAAAAGCAGACAGGGAATCAAAAGCAGACAGGGAATCAAAAGCAGACAGGGAATCAAAACCAGACAGGGAATCAAAACCAGACAGGGAATCAAAAGCAGGGGAGGAGGAGGAGGAAGACGAACAAAAGAACGAGGAAGAGGAGGAATATGAGGAGGAGGAAGAGGAGGAGGAGGAGGAGGAGGAGGATGAGGATGAGGGTTTGCTGGAGGCAGAGCTGATGGAACGACTTCAAAAGGGAAAGGACGGGGCAGGTGGTGGTGGTGGTGCTGGGTGGCGGTGCTGCTGACGTGGCAGGCGAGGATTGGGTGAAGGACCCGGGCGTGTGGCAGCGGTGGGCGGCAGAGGAGAGGAGGAGGGAGAGCAGGCAATGGCAACCAATGAGAGGTGAGGCACGAAAGAATGGGAGTGGAAGGAAGGGGGGTTTAAGGTACCTCATGACTGATTTCCAGGCAGACGGGTGAGCCTTTATGATTATAATTATGATTATGATTATTAGTACTAATGGGAGGTGAGGTGTGATGAAAGTTTCCGAGGCCTTGGCTTCCATGTTCTCTTGACCAGGCCATCCCCATTCCATCAGGAGCATGACGCAAGAAATAGGAGGAGGAGGAGGAGGAGGAGGAGGAGGAGGAGGAGGAGGAGGAGGAGGAGGAGGAGGAGGAGGAGGAGGAGGAGGAGGAGGAGGAGGAGGAGGAGGAGTATGAGGATGTGAGGAGCATTGGAACGTTCAGAACCGACTCCGATTGTTGGAGCCGACTCTTTTTTTACCCACCCCTTGCTTTCTCTTGCAGTCTCCCTATCTGTTTCTTCACGACCAGCATCACAGAAAGGACAAAAGGATGAAGAGGAAGGAGTAGAGGACGAGGAGAAGGAGGAGCTAGAGAGGGTGGTGGAGTATGAGGATGTGAGGAGCGGACTCTTCTCCCATCCTGGAATGTCTCTCAATCAGAGCTGACTTTTCTCTCGTCCTCTCCTGGAATGTCTCGTTCTCTCGACTCAAAAGTCTCCTGGAATGTCTCGTTCTCTCGACTCAAAAGTCTCCTGGAATGTCTCGTTCTCTCGACTCAAAAGTCTCCTGGAATGTTCGTTCTCTCGACTCAAAAGTCTCCTGGAATGTCTCGTTCTCTCGACTCAAAAGTCTCCTGGAATGTCTCGTTCTCTCGACTCAAAAGTCTCCTGGAATGTCTCGTTCTCTCGACTCAAAAGTCTCCTGGAATGTCTCGTTCTCTCGACTCAAAAGTCTCCTGGAATGTCTCGTTCTCTCGACTCAAAAGTCTCCTGGAATGTCTCGTTCTCTCGACTCAAAAGTCTCCTGGAATGTCTCGTTCTCTCGACTCAAAAGTCTCCTGGAATGTTCGTTCTCTCGACTCAAAAGTCTCCTGGAATGTCTCGTTCTCTCGACTCAAAAGTCTCCTGGAATGTCTCGTTCTCTCGACTCAAAAGTCTCCTGGAATGTCTCGTTCTCTCGACTCAAAAGTCTCCTGGAATGTCTCGTTCTCTCGACTCAAAAGTCTCCTGGAATGTCTCGTTCTCTCGACTCAAAAGTCTCCTGGAATGTCTCGTTCTCTCGACTCAAAAGTCTCCTGGAATGTCTCGTTCTCTCGACTCAAAAGTCTCCTTGAATGTCTCGTTCTCTCGACTCAAAAGTCTCCTGGAATGTCTCGTTCAATCAGAGCTGACTCAAAAGTCTCCTGGAATGTCTCTTAATCAGCCGATTCTTCTCTCGTCCTCCCCTCGTGTTCCCATGCGTTCATTCCCCTTCCCATGACCAGCAACCGGGAAGGAGAAAAAAGAGGAGGAGCAGGAGGATGAGGAGGAGGACGACGAAGAAGAAGAGCTAGAGAGGGTGGTGGTGTATGAGGATGTGAGGAGCCGACTCTTCTCATCCATACTTCCCCTTCCATGCACCCCTTCCCAGCACTAGCAGCAGGGAAGGGGAAAAGAGATGAAGAGCAAGCAGAAGAGGATGATGAAGAGGAAGAGGAGCTAGAGAGGGTGGTGGTGTATGAGGATGTGAGGAACCGACTCTTCTCTCTGCACTCCAAAGCAGCGAAGCGACATCTGCTGCTTGCTGCTGCTACATTCTTTGATGCTCCCCTGCCGGCTTGGTGAGTGGCCGTAGCGGTGGGTTGTGGGGTGGTGGTGGTTAGGTGCTGTACCTGCTGCTTGCTGTTTCTCCCTTGACTCACTTGCTGTGTGCTGCTGCTGCCTTCTTTGATGCGCCTCTGCTGGCGTGGTGAGCGGCTGTAGTGGTGGGTTGTGGGGTGGTGGGTGGTGTGTCAGTGTAACAGAGAAACTGATTACCATCAGGGACAGCCACACCTGTGACGAGTAGAGCGTTTGTGAGTGGGAGAGGCCGCGTGCTGTCTGTGGTGTGAGATTGGGATGAGGAGTGATCATCTATAGATTTTTTTAGTCAGTTCTAAATGAGGGGCTGAGTGTTTCCGGAGCTGTCAACTGTGGGTAATAAATGCCTAGGAGTATTTATATATGAAGAAATGAGACGATTTGCATGTGCAAGCAACCCCTCATTTTTTTTTTTTGGTCTTTTTGTGTAAATGCCCTCTCCGCGATCACCAATCCGCGAAAGCACTTTCTCTTTTCTTTTGGAGAGTAACGAAGCATGCTTATGAAGAGCACTTTCTGTCTCTTGTCCTCCCACCCAACAGGTGCAGCAGCAATGACAGCAGCTTCGTGGAAGCTTCAGGGTCGTTGGTCAGCGTTCCACAGTCCATCACAGCCCCCTTTAAAACTCCAACCTCTCAGCTTCCTCCTAACCCTTGTGCTGGTGCCGGTGGTGGTAGGGGTGTCGGTGCGACTGCTGCTGCTGCCTCTGCTGCTTCGGCAGGAGCATGAGAAACGGAAGCGGCAGCCGTAGGGGGAGGGGGGGCAGAAGTGGCAGTAGCAGAGGTAGGGGAGGAGGAGGAGGAGCAAGGGAACTTGGCCCGTGGTGCTGCTGTGCTTTCGATATAGCAGGCTTACAATTCGATATAGCAGGCTTACAATTCGATATAGCAGGCTTACAACCCATATCCTCGTGAGCAAGGGAACTTGGCCCGTGGTGCTGCTGTGCTAGACGCTCTTTCTGGAGGTCCTATGTGGTTCGATTGATGCATGGGGGGATGAAGGACAATGGAGGGGGAGGGGAGGAGATGGGGACGGGGACGGGACGGGGAAGGGGAGGAGGAAGAGGATGGGGGAATGGAGAGGGTGTGGTTTCTGCGTAACTTCCTGGAACTTGCGTGTCAGTGGATTCCGGATGATAAGAACCTGCAGGAGGCCCTGGTGGTGACGTCAGCTGCAGCTGCAGCTGTAGCTGCTACAGCTACTACAGTCCCCAGTGCACGTACACTGCCACCCCTCTTGCCTATTGTCTCTTACGAGCGCTACTACAGCCGGCACTGCTATAGCCGTGGATGTTGGTGCTGCAGTAGGGAAGAGGAGAGGGGGCACAGCAGCAGGGAAGAGGAGAGGGGGCGCAGCAGCAGGGAAGAGGAGAGGGGGCACAGCAGCAGGGAAGAGGAGAGGGGGCACAGCAGCAGGGAAGAGGAGAGGGGGCACAGTAGCAGGGAAGAGGAGAGGGGGCACAGCAGCAGGGAAGAGGAGAGGGGGCACAGCAGCAGGGAAGAGGAGAGGGGGCACAGCAGCTGCCATACAAGCCGTGCTGGAGCGAGCGAAGGGCAGGGAAGTTGGTGCCTCACAGGGAAGGCCAGGGAAGTTGGTGCCTCACACTCTGCTACAGATGCTGCTTCTGCTTCTGCTTCAGCTTCTGCTTCAGCTTCTGCTTCAGCTTCAGCTTCAGCTTCAGCTTCTGCTTCTGCTTCAGCTTCAGCTTCAGCTTCAGCTTCAGCTTCAGCTTCTGCTTCTGCTTCTGCTTCTACTTCTGCTTCTGCTTCAGCTTCAGCTTCAGCTTCTGCTTCTGCTTCTGCTTTAGCTTCAGCTTCTGCTTCTGCTTCTGCTTCTGCTTCAGCTTCAGCTTCAGCTTCAGCTTCTGCTTCTGCTTCTGCTTCAGCTTCAGCTTCAGCTTCAGCTTCTGCTTCAGCTTCAACTTCTGCTTCTGCTTCTGCTTCTGCTTCTGCTTCTGCTTCTGCTTCAGCTTCAGCTTCTGCTTCTGCTTCAGCTTCAGCTTCAGCTTCTGCTTCTGCTTCTGCTTCTGCTTCTGCTTCAGCTTCTGTGATTAACTTGCAACCCCCCTCTCCCTTGACAGTCCCCCTGCTTAATGTGATTAACTTGCAACCCCCCTCTCCCTTGACAGTCCCCCTGCTTAATGTGATTAACTTGCAACCCCCCTCTCCCTTCACAGTCCCCCTGCTTAATGTGATTAACTTGCAACCCCCCTCTCCCTTGACAATCCCCCTGCTTAATGTGATTAACTTGCAACCCCCCTCTCCCTTGACAGTCCCCCTGCTTAATGTGATTAACTTGCAACCCCCCTCTCCCTTGACAGTCCCCCTGCTTAATGTGATTAACTTGCAACCCCCCTCTCCCTTGACAGTCCCCCTGCCCCCCTGTGCTTCCCTCTCCCCGTCTCCCCTGCTCCCCATCCACCCCTCCGTACTCCCTCCAGTCCATCGCCGAAGCCACACCTCTCCTAGTGCTCGCACACACCCACATCGACCTATCCCTTCCCCATCACTCTTCCCAACCCCTTTGTCCGCCATCTCCCTGATAGAATTGGAACTGAACTGATTGATTAGGAAAGAAGGCACTAGGCCCTAAGTACAAACGAGGTTGGGATTGTCAAGGCTAGGTAAAGGATGGGATGGGAATCCTAGCAAATCTCCAATTGGTGAGTTGGCAGATTTGCAGGATTACGAGGGAATCCCAACCAGATAGGGTTGGGATCACAAACTACACCCAACCCGCAAATAACATACGAGATATAGAATATAGTACACAAAGTGTTGATAGCCAAATTCTAACACACCCCCTAGGCTGCAACACATCAGCCACAAGGAGGCCCGACACCCATGGCCGAGAGGAGGCGGTAATGATCCTCGCGAACAAGCGACTTGGTAAACAAGTCAGCAAGGTTGCAGTCGGAGGCAATGTGTTCAGCCTTCAGCTGCTCGCGCTGCACCAGCTCACGAAGAAAGTAGTGACGGACTTCAATGTGCTTGGTGCGGCCATGGAAAACGGGGTCTTTGGTGAGATGAATGGTGCTCTCGTTGTCACACCAAAGCGTTGGGGTTGGTTGGGGATACCCCAGTTCTGTCAGCAAGAAGGAGAGCCAACGAGCCTCCTGGGCAGCCATGGTCCCGGCATACAGCTCTGCCTCACAGGTCGAGAGTGAGACGGAGGACGACCGAGTGGAGCGCCAACTTACAACCCCATTGCCAAGGGTGAAGCAATACCCTTGGGACGAGCGCCGATCACTCTGGTCATCAGCATAGGATGAGTCACTGTACCCCTCAAGGCGAACTGGGGAAGTGCCGCCAAGTGTGAGCACGTAATCCTGTGTGCCTTTGAGATAGCGAAGAACCCGCTTGGCGGCAGACCAGTGGTGGCGAGTGAAGCGACCAGGTGCAATGTAGCGGGACAGTACACTGACTGGATAGGCTAAGTCTGGTCGAGTGCACATCATCGCGTACATGAGGGATCCCACGAGCTCGGGGTAAGGCTCGTCACAGGGCTCAGGTGAGGGAACGGAGGGTGCAGTGAGTTGGTGTTGCAGAGAGAGTGGGGTGGGCATTGATGCTGCTTCTTGCATCTGGAACCTCGTCAGAACATTGTTGATGTAAAACTTCTGCGAAAGGGTGATGGTGTGGGCTGTGCAATCACGTGTGATTTCCATTCCCAAATAGTTCGTCAGCTTCCCAAGGTCCTTCATGGCCAGCTTCTCACCAAGTGCGGTTTTGACTGCTGCCAGCTCAGTCTGATTCTTGGTGACAAGGATCATGTCATCGACATAAACGAGGATGAAGAACCGGGAGGCTGTTGCTCGGATGAAGAGGCTGGGGTCAGAGGTGGATGGGTGAAAGTCGAGGGACCCTAAGGTGCTCTTTAGCTTGTTGTGCCATTCCCGGGGAGCTTGCTTGAGGCCATACACTGGCCGATTCAGCTTCCATACTGTGTCTGGTGGAAAAGGAGCTGGAAATCCTTCGGGCCGCTCCATATAGATTTCCTCTCGAAGGATCCCTTGCAGGAACGCAGGAGACACATCCATGCAGTCAACCTCCATGTCATCTCGAGCAGCGACATCGAGAAGGGTGCGCAGTTTGGGAGGTTTGGCAGTGGGAGAGAATGTCTCAAAGAAGTCCAGTCCACGCCTTTGGGTAAATCCCTTGGCACAGTACCGGGCTTTGAAGACATGAAATTCGCCTGGAAGTTGTTTCACCCAAAAGACCCATTTTCCCTTCACAATGTTGACGCCGGAGGGATGAGAGACGTCTGTGAAAGTTCCTGTGTGAATGAAGGCCTCACATTTTGCGACAATGGCCCCCAACCACTGAGCGGCGTGAGGACCAGAGACTGCTTCAGCATAGGTGAGAGGTGTGGGGATGGAGGGGTTGTCGGAGAAATTGAGGGTGGGAGAGTTTGCGATGTCTGGAAAGAGGAAGCAGAGTGCGTGGATGGCTGAGTCGATATCAATCAACTCCTCATGTCTGTCTTCAAGGAGGGATGGCATGAGAGAATAATCACCCCCGACAGGAGGAGGATTGAGAGAGACGCGATCGGAAAGGGAGAACGGTTGTGGAGGTGTGCGAGAGCGGGTGCGAGAAGCTATGGGTGAGGGAGGCGGGGCCGGAGTAGGCGCAGCGGAAGGGGAGGTGGGAGTGGTAGGGAGAGTGGAGACAGGATCGGGATCAGGGGTGGGAGCTGGAGGAGGAAGAGCTGGGTGACGGCGTTGGTAGGTTTTGAGAGGAATTTGCTCAGTAGGAGGAGATGCGAGAGGAGATGGAGGAGGGGTAGCGGAGGAGGGAGGGGGCGAGGGAGACTGTGTGGTACTGGAGGGGGAAGCGGGTGATGGGGGATCAGAAATGGTGGAGGGAGCGGGAAGAGGAGGAGATGGACTGTCGGGAAGAGGGAGACTGTCAAAGTCAGCCCAAGTAAGAGAGAGAGGCGGAGGAGAGGGGGAAGCCTTGGAGGAGGGGTAGAATGGGTGGGACTCATCAAAGTAAACGTTCCGGCTGCGATAGAGCTTGTTGGTGGAAGGATGGAGGAAAAGATAGTCTGGCGAATCTAAGTTGTGCCCTAGGTATACGCACGTGATCGTTTTGGGAGCAAGTTTGCCGCCAACCGCACGACGGGCTTGGGAGTTGAGGAGGACATAGAAAGTGCACCCCCATACACGAAGAGGGCGGACGGATGGCTTTTGACCCGTCCATAGCTCAGCGGGGGTGGTGTGGGTGTGATGAGGATGGGGATGGAGATTGTGGAGGGCGGCAGCATGAAGCATGGCGTACCCCCAGAGAGAGGGAGGGGCGGAGGCGTGCGTCAGGAGGCAGCGAGCAATCTGCACCAATGTACGGTTCCGGCTTTCGACAATACCGTTCTGTTGGGGACTGTCCGGGAGAGTGAAGGTCTGACGAATACCCTCAGTGGAGCAGAAAGCTTTGAGAGTGCTGTTGCGGAATTCACCGCCACCGTCAGAGTGAAGGACCTTGATGGTGGTTTTGAAGTGTTTGTAAGCCTGCTTCGCCCATTCAATGATGACACCTGGGGCTTCGGATTTGGAGGAGAGAAGGTGGACAGACACATAGCGGGAATAGTCATCAATGATGACAAGGAAGTAAAAGTGTCCACCGCGAGAGCGAACAGGAGCTGGGCCCCAAAGGTCCATGTGTACGCGATCGAGAGGTGCAACGGAGATGGACTCAGTGGGGGGATGGGGCAGTTCACGAAGCTTGCTCTGTGCACAGTCAAGGCAAGGCGGCCCTAGGGTGGAGGTAGGAGAGGGAAGTGAGGTTGGAAGCCCGTGGAGGAGTTGTTTTGTGGCAAGGTCTGAAAGCGCGCGAAAGTTTATGTGGCCAAGGCGGTGATGAAAGAGCATGGTTTTGTCGGAAAGGAGGCGGCAGTGACAGGTGGAGGAGTCAAGGGAAGGTAACGGGAGGTTTGTGAGGGAGCACGTTTGAATGGGAGGTACTACAAGCGTGTATAGGTTGTTGGAGTTGAGAGTGAAGCGGGCTAGATGAATGCCGGTTTTAGCGTCAAAGAGGTCACAGTAGTCGACATCATTGGGAAAGATGGTGATCACTCCTGCTTGTTGGATTTCACTTTGTGCCAGGAGTTTGTGGCGGAGGGTGGGGGCACAGATGCCAGTGACTGTGCCCGATGGAAATGCTGGACAAGGAACTGTGGAGGACCCATGGCATTGGATGGAGAAGCTAGAGTCGGCTCCGAGGAGTGGGATGGGAGCCTGGTAAGGAACGAACGCGGTTTGGTCTTTGAGCACTGTGTGGGTGGCACCACTGTCTAGTATGAACTCGATCCCTTGTGTGTTTGAAACACCGATGTACTATGACCCCTTCTCATTAATAATACCAGCACCAGAGAACAACAGGTTGAGGCGAATATCAGATGGGGTGCTATCAACTGAGGGACTGGGCACCTCCACTGCCCCGACATGGTTCACGCGACGGGGTGGGGCCCAGTTGGGAGGGCGCTTGTTGGTGGAGACACCATGGACGTCGTACCACTCATCATCTCGCTTCTTGAAGCAAGTTGCCTCAGGGTGGTTGGTGCCTCCGCATTTCTGCCCCGCACGTGGGCCTTTCCTAATGATATAGGGGCATGGGGGAAAGGAGTTGCGCCTTGGTCCTTGTTGGGAGCGGAATGGGATTCCAGGGGTGTAGCGCACAGCATTGACGGATGCTTGGGCTGCAAGGTCCTTTTTGGCGGAAAGGAGAGCCGATGCGACTTTTTCGAAGGTGAGTTCCTTGGTGGGAAGTTGCTTGAGCATGGAGCTGGTGACATTGTAGGCCGAGGTCAGTCCTACAAGTAGGCCAGCTGCAGGTGCCTGTTCGGGGAAAATGATCCCAATGTCCTTGAGTTCCTCATGGATGTTGCGGATTTCAGAGATGTGATCTGCCATGCCAGGGCATTCCTCAAGGCGGACCTGGAACATTCGAGGGATGAGGATGGCAACACCCACTGCTGTCTTGTCATGGAAACGGTTCTGGAGGTACTTCCAAATCGCATGAGCGGAGCGAAAGGTGCGGTAGGATTTGACGAGCTCAACCGGAGTGGTGGTGATGAAAACCCTAATAGCTGCTGCATCTGCCTGCTCCCACACACTGAAATCAGTCTCGTACTTGGTGGTCTGAGCGTCAAAAGCGGCCTTCTCTGCGGCAGTGGCGCCTTCGCCAAGGGGATCGGGAGGGAGAGGCATCTTTCCCTTGCCGCGGTTGAGGAGGATGTCCTTGAGGCAAATCCCTCTCAGTTCCGTGCTAAGGAGGTGCTTCTCCACCCCATAGCACCATTCTCCAAAGTTGGTGCTCGTGCTGTTGGGAACGAGGTTGAGAACGATGAGGTTTCCGATTAGGGTAGAAGTTGAAGTCGCCATTCGCGCGGAGCGCAGCGCTAAAGTCAACGATACGAAGCGGAGCGAAGCGGAGCGAAGTCCGAAATGCGGAAATGTGCGATTTCGCCGATAAAATTGTGATTCCTGTTCTGCTTCTCTGCTTCGCCGATGACCTGTTCCGTTGCGCCGCTAACCTGTACTGCTGC